CCCGTGACGGGGCGACGAACCTCGCCCCGTCCCACCCCGCCAACCTGTTCGGGGCGGGTTTTTTTGCCCCATTCGGGGCGGGGCGGGGAAAATTGCCATCTCTATCGTCGGTCCTCTTTCGTAACCACATTTTAATTGTTGGATCTTTGCGTTTTCACTCAATGTAGAATAGGACGGAGTTTTTATTTGTTATCCTGATTGAAGACATCTCTAGATTAAACAAAAACTCTATTTGAGACATGAACCTCTATTTTCTATTAGGTTAATGCTTGGGTGAAATGGATCTAGCTTGGATACAACAAAGTAACATTAAGGGCTACTCTTGCCAAATGAGTAATCTCTAATCCTCAAAATTGTTGGAATTTAGTTTAAAGAATGAAAAATTTAGTTAAAGGATACAACTTAAAAAGTGACTTTTTGTCAACTTCGATCAAATATTCGGATTTAATTTGATATTCAAATTATAAATATAAATAGACTAACTTATTCTAGTCGTTGAGTAGAACGTCGCGATATATTTTAAATCTCAAAACTAATTTCGGATGAATGAGAAATTGCGGTTCAATGTTGGATAGAAAAGAGGAAAAACTAGTCGGGATAAAATGCCTAACTCCATAGCTCGCCTATCGCTCGAGTAAACTCCAACGATGAGACTGTCGCTCAGTCTCTCGAGCGAGAGGCAAGTGAGAGAGGTTCTGTTGAATAGGTATCACTGTTGCTCGAGCGAGAGGCTAGCGACAGCAAGAGATGTTTTCCTTCGTGAAGGTTGCTGAGATTGGGGTGTAAAACTTCATTCACAACCCTTCATTTTCTATAAATAGTACTATTTGGATGTCCATTATGCATCTCATATCATTTTGCATAGAGCATTACATCAAAATACTCTCCAAAAGTCATTCCAAAAATATTTTCTTGTAGAGGAAAAATTTTCGTTCAAAATTCGTTGTTACTTGTAGTTTGAAGTGCTTCCACTATAAGTTGTATACATTGTGTCTTGGAAGACAAATTCTGTAAACCGTTAGCAAATTTTGTAAACCGTTAGCAAATTTTGTAAACCGTTAGCACCGTTGTGGGGCAATTTATTTTGTCTTAAGGAGATGATGTTTTCATTTACCTCGAATTTCGTTATTCACTTTCTTTATATTCTTACTTTCTTTCTTTTCATTTTAAGAGTTTAATTACGCTCATGCAAATTAAACTTAAATATTTCTTTGTCTAAAACAATCATTTCAATATACTATCTACCAACAATCTTAAGACAAAATTTGTTTGTTTGTGATTGTTGTTGGATATTTCTTTCTTTCATTATTTTGTATGTTGAACTTCTGTTTATAATAGAAATTAATACTGTTGAAACTACTTCGAGTCAAACAATAAATGGTACCAATCACGTGGTTCCATCTTTGGCCATACCTATATCAAACTCTCACATCCCACATAGTAAAAATCGAAAAGGTTTGCAGGTGTGAATTTTAAAAGATGGCAACAAAAGATGTTGTTTTATCCTACTACTTTGAATTTGGCAAAGTTCCAAAAAAAAAAAAAAAGCTTCTGTTGTACAAGAAGGGGAAAATAATCGTAATTCGATTATTGCATTGAATGCGTGGAAGCACTCGGATTTCCTTTGAAAAATTACATCCTAAATGGATTAGACAATACCCTTTATGAAGTGTATAGTTCGATGGATTTGACTAAAGATCTATGTGATTCATTGGAAAAGAAGTATAAGAACGACGATGTCAGAACAAAGAAGTTCATTGTCGACAAGTTTTTGGACTACAAAATGGTATACTCCAAAACTGTGATAAGTCAAGTACAAAAATTTCAAGTTCTACTTCATGATATACAAGCTGAAAAGATGGAATCCAGTGAGTTCTTCCAAGTTGCAGCCATCATTGAGAAATGAATGTTCTTATAATTGTACAAAAATAAAGCATTATGACTAAAACTTTGAAATCTACTTATATGTTTGAGTTGTCTCGTTTATGGTATAGTCGATTAGAACGCGTCAATTGCAAAACTATGCGCAAACTTATGAATCAAAGTTTAATTTTGACACTGAAGATTGATCCTAATCATAAGTGTAAAGTATATATTAAAGCAAAGTTGGCCAAAACACGTTTTCACTCAATTCAAAGGAACACGACACCTTTAGAGTTAATACATAGGGATATATGTGACTTGAAATTTATTCAAACTAAAGGTGGTATGAAATACTGTAACGACCCGAATTTTCAAA